GCAAAGGGAACAATGTATGCAGATGTCCCACTGGTTTCAAGGGTGATCATTGTGAAATTGGCAGAAGATCTCCACAACGTTCGGCCTGCACAAGAGCATGCAGAAATGGAACTTGCCAGCCTGATAATACATGTCTCTGTGAGCCTGGTTGGTTCGGAAAGTTGTGCAATAAAAACAAGCCATGGGCTTGAACATAGAGACGTATTTTCCACCAGTGGTATCGCATTCCACCAGTGGTAGCCAATTGGATCAATGCAACAAGATTTTTTACTTAACATAAAATTACGAAATGTCTTGAAACCTTGAATTCTATTTGTTCTGTGTTCATTCGGGAGTTTGAGACATTTTCCACTTTGAACCTCGCATTTAGTTTAACAATTTTTATACTTAAGATGATATTGAATAATCAAAGTATCGCAAATTATTAATTTTACAAAGTATTATCTCGTTAATTTAACAACAGCATTTTACAATCCAATTGGTTAATGCCACTAAACTAACATGTATAGTTAGTAATTTACCCCACCCCAGATGTGATATGTAAAGCTGCTTTACTACATATTTTATACTATTAAATATTATTTTTTAAATAATATTGTTAGATATTGTAATGATTGTAAAAAAAAATAAAGTATATTTTTTCTCTTGTATTATTAGTCGTGATCGCATTCATGATCGCAGAAGAGACAAGTGATTTTCAGACTTGAAATAAAAATTCTGAACCTCGACGAAAATTTACAACAATCTCTCGTTACGAAAACGCAAACAATAAAAGAGACGAGCGTTGCTGTAAAGATGATGCAAAGAGGAAAAGAAAGAAAAAGGCATTGCATACCCACCGCAAAAGTCGACCGTGTGAGAAACGTCAAAACAACATGCGTGAACGATTGTTTCTTGCCGTTTCAGACAGTTACAGGTTTATAGGTTAGACTGAAATTCAGCAACGTCGTTCCAGGGACGCTGAGAATAAGAGTCACGTGTTTCAGGGCCCAATAAGAAGGTAGATCAGATGGACGCCATAACGCGTACCCCAGTGGTATCAGCCAATCAGATTATTCCAGACTCGTATACATGTATATGGTGTTCGCGTTTCCGTGGTCGCTGGTATCTTTTTGCGGATTCTGATGGGAAATTGGTGAGTGCCGAATAAGCATCGGTGCGTTACTAGCACGTAATTGATCGTTGAGGGCCCGAGCGATGCGCGTACGTCGCGCATTCGCGAAATAAGGGCAATTTCGCATCGTCTGCTTGGAGTGCACCGCGCAGGCTCGCTCAAAATGGCCGCCTGGCTGCCGCGTTTGTTGTGGTGGAGATGGAGGGCCGCGTAGCCGATCGATACGGCCGCTGGCGAAACTGGCTATGGTGTCTATGGCGGCTGTTGTGCGTGTTGTTGTGGCGTGGCGCGACGTTCACGCGAGTTACGCCCGGTGAGATAGAAAATCGCATTCTAGCCTCACGGTGGTGGTGCTGTGCGGGTGAGCAGCGTTCGACACGGGTGGCGAGATGAGACCGCGAGACGCGAGCGTAGGGCGTGGTGAGAGAGCGTAGCCGACGGCGGCCTCCCCGCAGACGCGAAACCCTGAGCCCTCCCTGATCGGGTGACCACTCACGGGACACACAAGGTGCGTACGCAACTCGCGATTTTCACTGGGCCTGCTCCATGGCTCCGCGGTACCGCGGTCATGAGCTTTGCGGCCCCGGAGGTGGTCTCTTTTGCGTGTGCCCTGCGCATTTTCATTGCCCCCCCAAGTATCCGCCAAATAAACGCGCCGTGTGCGCGGCTTGGCGCATCTTCTCTCTCTGTTCTCTCACGTCTCGTCACGCTTTGTGCCAAGCCACGCTCTTACCACCCTTCTTAACTGCCCGTCCGTTGTCCGTCGTCTGTCGCCTGTCAAATTCGTCCGACAAATATGTATCTGTTGTTCGTTGTCACGCCGAGTTTGACACCGGTTCGCTACGCTTCGTCCGTGCTTCGCCAATTTCCTATGTTTGTGCACGGACCACGGCAGCGACGACGACGACGTCGTCGTCGTTCTTACTTACGTTACTTACGTTACATTAACGTTACATTATATATGTTCATGCTTTCCCGTGCACTTTACTTTCATCACGTTGATTCGCATTTAGCGCGTTCTGTCTCGTCGCGTCGCGTTTCACCGTACGTGAGATACCTGAATATACGCGCGGGAAATGCTCCGCCGCGAACTCGTTTATGTTTCTCAAATCACGACCGTGTGTAGTATCGTCGTCCTGGATTTTTATCCACTATATTTTACTTTTATCGATGCAATGTGTCTCATTGCCATCATTTTCCGTAGAAGAAAACGTTACGCAAGAATCAATTAGTAATTATGCGTTTAACGACATTATTATATTTTGTTGGAAATCTATATTTCGTTCATATGAAATACACGTCTTTTTTTCTATTCTTACATTATCAATTAATAATGCACACGTGGATAATGAGATGATTATTTGCTTTGATTATTTGTTTTGATTATCCTTAAAGTATCATTTTGACAGTTTTCTAAATTGAAATTTAGATTTACCTACGTTATAGTTTATCATCTTTGTTTTAACATCTAAGTTATTTTACATTTACAATTAAATGATTTTGTCGTGTCAAATGAAAGCAGCCTTTTGTAATAAAAGGTATAAACATGTAAGACAACTTTGTTCTGCAAAAAAGAATTTTATATGTTTTATTTCTCTTTATTTCAATGTAGGAGAAGGTGATGTAGGAAAGAAATAAAAATTCGAAGATTGACATTTGTTACAACCGGACATTGCAATATAATTAAAGACAAGACGGGTGACGAAGGCAAGAAGATGGTATCTCTGCCTAATGCAGAGTCTGGAACAATGGACAGAATCTCAGATGATGATGATGACGAGCCAAGTAGTGGATCTGAAACGTACGAAGAGGGTGATCTGTTGACTGCTGCTATGGATGATGATGTAACGGCCCAGCTCGCCGCTGCAGGTTGGCAAATCAAACACGCTAATGGTGATTTCCATTTTTTTGCTTTTTCACCTTTTGAGTTGTTTACATTTTAATCAGTTTCATTTACAAAAGGAAAATAACATACAGGGTGCACCAATAATGTTAAATGACCAGATCTTACACATAAGTATAAAAGAAATACTAGTAGAAGACTAAATTGAATTTTTTTAGATATATTGATTTAGTTCTGTTTGTAAGTAATATAATCGTGTTACTATTATACTTCTTATATAAAGTATTAAAAGTACAATTTATATATAGTATTAAAGTACAATTTATATAGTGTTCAAATCTTTAAACGAAAATAAAATAAAGTTATATCATACGACATTATAGTAGTCAAATAAATACAAAAAATAGAAATTATCTTGATTTATTATTAACAGAAACATAGAAGTAAATACTGCTTGCCAATGATACATCTAATCTGGTAACTATTAAATATTAAACTAAAGTACATATGTGAGAAATATATTCTATTAAAAGTTCTAACGTGATATTAACAATGTACTTATTTATTTTTATTTATTTATTATCTTCGCTTATTACTTATTTTCATCGCAGTGCAGCATGAATTTATTGCTGTTTTTTATTTTAATTTTACTTCACTTTTTTTTATTATTTTAATATCATTTTTTTTTTCAACAAAATAAATATCAATAATGCAAATTTAAAAAAAAGAAATGACATAAAAATATCATTATTAAATACATTTTACATTGTTTGTGTGCTGTAATATTATTTGCTTCGTGTTTTTAATATCCTTTATACATGGAAACACTGTTTTTTATATATATATATATATTTTAATTTTGCATTTTATATGTAATTTTTATGTGCAAATTTAGAATTATTCATATACATATATGTAGGTTATATCATCTTTTTTGTGTGTTTATTAAAATCATAGCTCACAATCATATTTGTTTAATATTTGTCGTTTAAATTTATGTTCATCTTTTGTGTAGTAAATTTTGTTCTGTTATGTTCACTTTCTAAATATTGTAGAAGAATTTAATATTTTGTAGATGTTCATCTTCACCTTATCCAATAAGGGATTCAAGAATATATTATTTATTTAAATTGCAAATACATTTTATTTCATTAGAAAACAATAACTAATTCTTTATTATTTAATTTATTTTTATGTATATAATATATTCTTGGCTATCAAGCACGTTTCATACCATTATTGCTTTGCATCCCTTTTATTTTGAACGAATCAAAGACATATATGTCAGTAAAATATGTATACATACGTCTATATATATACATATATATATATATAAAATAATGTTTGGATAGAATAACAAAAATATATGTATTTTGAAAATATCAAATAAAATGAAATCTTTTAATGCTATCATTATTTTACTGACATTTTATTTGGTGTGGGATTGTAAAATTAGAAAACATATAGTTAATAATTTGCACATTTAGGGCCTGTTGGCGTAGCCGCCGCCGCTGCGATTGTCTCAGCGAAAAAAAGAAAACGACCTCATAGTTTTGAAACAAATCCCAGCATTAGAAAGAGACAACAAAATAGACTTTTAAGGAAATTGAGAGTAAGTACATATTTTTACATTTTATAATACATATTTTTTCATACATATTTACAATACACATGATTGTGTTTTAAAATGTCTTGTCGTTTCTGTATGCCTTTAAATATGTATATTATTTACAGCAAACCATAGATGAATTTGCAACGAGGGTTGGACAGCAGGCAGTAGTATTAGTAGCTACGCCAGGAAAGCCAAACAGTAGTTATAAAGTATTTGGAGCAAAACCATTAGAAGATGTAGTAAAAAATTTAAGAAGTGTTATAATGGAAGAGCTTGAAAGTGCGCTCGCGCAACAAGCTCCGCCGCCAGTGCAGGACGATCCTTCTCTGTATGAATTACCACCTCTTATAATAGACGGCATACCAACACCTGTTGAAAAAATGACTCAAGCTCAACTCAGAGCATTTATCCCCTTAATGTTAAAGTATTCTACAGGCAGAGGTAAACCAGGTTGGGGGAGAGACAGTACACGACCACCGTGGTGGCCGAAAGAACTTCCTTGGGCAAACGTGCGTATGGATGCAAGGTCAGAGGACGAGAAACAAAAGGTTCGTAAAGATTTGGAAAGAAACTTCGAACGTTTATTTTTCATTTTGAAAATTCTCCGAACTCCTTAATGTTTGTTTTAATGTATTTATTTATTTTTTTTTTTTAGATTTCTTGGACACACGCGTTAAGACAAATTGTAATAAACTGTTATAAATTTCATGGAAGAGAAGATCTTCTACCTGCATTCAGCGAAGAGGATGATAAATCAAATATACTGATACAACAGTCGACCCCGCATTCTTCGTCACATCCGTCGCATTCATCCAGTCAAGGGCAAGGTGGACAATCGCAGCAACAACAGCAGACGGTGGGAGTTGTTCGCCTCAGCAGCACGGATTCATCTAAGGGAAACTCTTCGCCAGCACAAATCATTGCCGCGTCTCCTACAGCTCTTGCCACTGCCACTCAGGTGGGAGTGGATAGAGTACAAAAAAAAGGAATTGATCGAAACATCATGATCGGGAAAAGCGGAATTATTTACATACAATTTCAAACTAATCAGACTTGATGACAAAATTTCGATAATATATCGGAAGATTATGGTGTTTCTTTAAATTCTGGTTTTACATATAAAGGAAAATTAAAATTTGAAATTTCTTTACGCGCAGTTTTGCGTTTTATGTTAATGTGTTTGGTTTCCCTTATTTGAGTTTAATCTATCTTTCTATCTTTTATTTCTGCAAATATTATCGTATTTTGTAACAAATTTTATTTAGTTATTAGTTATATATCTCGTGTGAAATTTTCATCATATTTTTAGTTGTGATAATATTTTGCTTTCTAAAACATCTGAAACACATGATTTGATTGTCATAATCAATATTTTTCTTTTTTCTTTTTTCTATGTTATAGATGACAACTCAATATCCAACGGCAGTTTTACAAACAATAACGAACCCTGATGGCACTGTTTCAATTATTCAGGTTGATCCTAGTAATCCAATAATTACGTTACCAGATGGTACAACAGCTCAAGTTCAAGGTGTTGCTACCGTAAGTTGTTGTAAATCACTTTTTATACGTTTTTTTTTTTTTTTTTATTTCAGAAGCAACCTTTTGAAAATGAATTCTTTCATGTATAGATCCATACAAGTCAAGGAGAAGTTCAAGCACTTGCTGAAGTAGCAGGCAGTGCGGAAGGTACTAGCGTGGCTGTCGACCTAAACAGTGTTACAGAAGCAACGTTAGGTCAAGATGGTCAAATCATTCTCACCGGAGAAGACGGACACGGTAAAACAGTTTTCTATAGGCTCTGCACCGTCGCCGGCCAGGAGCTACTTGAACAGTGAATTCAATTTTACTGGTCCAGGATCCTTTGTTGTTTTGCATGCTGTCTGCTACGCTCCGTTCAAGAAACCTACGTGTTCTACTACTTTGTACAACGAAAGTAGAATATCGATTAGTTACTCTTTTTTGATACTATTGTACATACGCAATTTCACTCGGAGCTATGCACAGCTTTATTTTAATTTCTTCTTTAAGAATCCATGATACGTAGAATGAAGATGTTATTAGAAGAACCGTCTAGAAAATCTAGAACTCATGTATTGATTTTTATATATAAATTAATCTGCAAAGAGAAGTCTACATAGTAGAAGAATTGCTCTCGATGTTGTATCATTTTGTATATGTTTTTGATGTTCGTAGACTATTTACTTCCTAAGATGAAATAAAATTCGTGATTTTTTTTTTATAAGGAACTTAATAATGATGAAACAACAAAATCAAATTCATACGTGTGTGCATGTACGTATTATTTTTTACATATTGGAACAGGTATTGATTGAACAATACGTTTACATGTCGGAATGTTGCATGCATAGTTTATGCACAATTCACTGAAAAGAAGTTTCTAACATTTTAAAATGTGTACATTATATAAAACATAACCAGATAGAATGAATTGGTTCACATGGATTCTTAAGATTTTAAATTTACGAGAAAATAAAGGAAGGTATTTCACATAATCACGAAAAAAAAAACCTGTCCCTGTTTTACAATTATTACTTTTATCGTTACTACCGAAAATTGGTTATTAAAACAAAGAGAAATAAAACTGCTGTACATAGAGTATTTTTTGTTGATGTTTTTATTATTTTATAGTTGTTGTATTTGGCAGCCTTTGTTTAAGCTACTCACGATTGCTGTTTTCTAATTTATTTAAATGAATAAATTATTTTGAGTAAAAAAAACTCGCATTCATACAATTTATGCTCGTCCATACTTGATTTTACAGAATGGCTTAAACATTTGTTGCTTTTTATTAATGCCTTTATTTTTTCTGAAGTGTAGATGAAAATTACGTTTGTACGATATTAGATTAGAAGTGTGTGCCAGGAAAAAAGATAAACGCGAAATGTTGAAAATAAATTACACGTTTCTTTTTTTTTTCTCCTACTGAATTAAACGCTTAACGCATAAAATAAATACGTCTATTTTTCTCTAGCACACCCTGTTAATCTAACATTTTTTTCATTTGCTTTGTCTAGAACAATATATTTTTAATTTGACATTTAAGTTTTTATTCGTATATATACTCTGTTAAATCTGACTGTATCGTAAACTGGTATAACACAAATCCGAAGGAAAACTATCGATATTAAATAATACATGTGATGCGTGCTCTCCGAATTACTGTACGTTTAACTTTTCGATTTCCAGTTTGCTATACAGAGAAAAAAAAAATGCCTGGTCAGGGGCAGAACACAGGACAATTACTTCTTTGTTTCAGGCTATCCTGTTTCCGTCTCAGGAGTAATAACAGTACCGGTGTCTGCTAGTATGTATCAAACTATGGTTGCCAATATACAAAGTGACGGTACGATGCAAGTAGTTACACCGATGGTTCAAGTCCCAAAGGTTGAGCCTGGAAACGGGGAAACTAGCATTGAGGCTGTCACTATTCAAGGGCATCCTATGACAATGATAAACGCTGCAGGTGAACATCAAGTTCTTCAAGTGATATCACTGAAAGATGCTAATGTCCTCACAAAGGCTATGCAAGCTGAAGTTGTGAAAGATGAGGACAGTCAACAACAACAAACCGTCTCTAGTCCAGAATAAAGCGTTTTACATAGTTAATATAAAGCTTTTATGTTAACACCAGAATGCGACAGGTGCACATTAGTGGTGTTCATGAGAGAAAGAGTGAGAGTATTAGAAATGATATGTGTTATTAATATTAAGGAAACTGATTGTGTCTTTTCTGAATCATTGTGTAGCGTGTCCTCTTGTTGAAAAACAGTAAATGAATAGCGGCGAATATGTTTGGAGAGTGAAAATGTTTGAATGTTCCAATGACTCATTGGACTTGAATGTAATCATATTTGTATTCAAGATTCATTGTAGACACTTAGCGGTATTCACTTGTAATTCAATCTCTCAAAGATAGTACTAATTTTTAGAAAGTACTGCGGCGCTCGATGAATGCAAATCATCGTTATATATACAAAATTTCATCGATATATTTATAGTGACGTCATCTGGATATTTAACATATTTCCGAGATAAGCAAACATGGATACAAATATTTTCATCTAGTCTCTTAGTATCGGGTCCTTAAGAAAAATCGACATACCAAAGAATTTTAAATCTGTATTAGATTGTTTTACGAAACAGACGATTATCAACAAATGATATAATTTAACTACATTCATCTAAAAAAAGAAAAAGAAACTCTGATTGAACGAGTCGATGCTGTAAACAATGTATGTAATTCGTGATACGTAGATAATTTTAAAGACGAAATCGAGTTTCAATTTAATTAGTCAAATGTTTCAAAAAATATTTGCAAAAGAATCTGTCGTATGTAAAAATCTTTTTAATGGAAAAATTGAATTGATATTTCATGTGGTATCAGGATTCCGATCTAAATGTTTGAGTTAATCAAATTTGGCTATCGAATTAAGAAAAGAATGATACGTAGCCTATTTTTATGACAAGCTGAAATATGAAAATGAATCATTTTTCGACGATAGAGACATGTAACGATACATATTAATATACATTAATAATCGACAGTAGAGATAAATGAAAAAAAAAAAAAAAATTAAGCATTTCTGACGGGTACAAATAGGCTATAAGGCATAATTTTTTGAAAAATAAGACATATGGATTTGAAGTCTCAATGCACACCCACAAAACGTAATTACTTTTATTATATTAATACTGCGTTATATTAGAAAATTATTTTTAGGCAATGCTATAAAGAACACTATATAATTCTCGTAAAAAATTAAATTTTCATTCCCCTTCTCTGCGGAATGTAAAAATGAAGAATTACATATTGTTCTTTATTTTTATTTTCAGGTAATATAAAATGTATTTATTTTTGTTATTAATGAAAAAAAAAGAATCGAAATGTTTTCATGCATTTAAATGCCAACTCACTTTTATACAATATATTTAATGTTAGGAAGAATATTATTTTTTCTGTGCAATCTTGTTTCAATGTTGCGGTGTCAAATAGTGCAAAGACGTGTGATTGATTATTACAGAATTTTCGTTATTCTAATGATTTTACTTACATTTTTATACTTTTTAGTATCTTTACATATGCATATATTGTTTTTCAACGAATTTGTGATATTTGTTTAATTAATCGTTTTTTTAAGTACATGTGTCTTTATCATGAATGAAGTTCCTGTAGGTGTGTAGTACTCTTCTCTTAAAAAAAAAAAAAAAAAAAAAAAA